GACCCTGGTCGTAATGTGACACGGCGTGCTCGTAGCGCTCATCCTAAGAAGCACCCTAAGGCAACGGGGACATTGCCACCTTGGGGGGGGGAGGAGTGTAACGCTTCACCTAACTACAGCACACCTTCCTAGTCTAGGTCGGAAAATGTCTCGACAAAAATCGGACTACGGGAGTTGAAGGTTGGGTGGGAGAGAAAGGTTGGCTTGGTATTCCAAACCTCAACTTTGAGGCTTGGAACTTTCCAACCCAACAAAAGTGAAGATTGAAAGGTTGGATTTCCAACCAGTCAGAACCTGCCAGTTGTTGTTACAATCCACACAAATCTTAAAAAAACCATACAAGTGTGCTAAGTTGGGATTTCCCCAACCAAACTAAAATGTCACCTAGGCTCCAAGCCTAATAGCTCCCCAACCATGGAAGCCATGGTTGGGAAGAGCCCCAAGGGGTATTGTGGAAGGGGTTGGAGCTTTCAAGCTCATTCCCACTTCCCAACTCCAACTTATCAACTTGGAAATGGGATATTCACACAAAGTCTTTGGTTCCCCTAACAAGCTCTCCTACACAACTAGAGTTGTGTTTACTTCAAGGATAAGCTCTACAAGAAACTCTCCGTCTAGTTGCTAAAACTTCATAAACTCCTCAAGTCTCTTTCTCCTCTCAAGTTTCAAGGATACTATCAAGGCTAGTTTATCCCTTGGTGGGATTAGTTTAATCTTGGAAGCCTTGTATCTTGATTTTATAAATTTTGTCAATGAGGATTTATATTTGACACACGGTTGCCCGTTGTTATAGGGGCCGTGCTTGTTACACTTTCCCTTTGTTCTCACCGCTCTTTCCCCCTCCACTCAACCCTTTCCCCCTGCTCACTCTCTTCCCCCCTGCTCACTGCTCACTCTTGTCCCCCCTTTTTACTCTCCTCTCTCCTGTTCACTCCCTTTCTCCCTGTTCTCACCCCTCTTTCCCCCTTCACTTAACCCTTTCCCCCTGCTCAATCTCTTTCCCCCTCTACTCACTCTCTCCTCTCCTGCTCACTCTCTCCCCCTCTGTTCACTCCCTCCCCCTCTGCTCACGCTCTCCCCCTCTGCTCATTCTTTCCCCTTGGACTCACCCATCTTTTCTCCCAATCCCCCATCGTTCAACCCTTTTCCCCCCCAATCTCTCTCAACTCCCCTCTTCACACTCCTCGTTATCTCCTGCTAACTGCCTTTCCCCTTCTCCCCCCTGCTCACTCTCTTTCCCTTTCTGCGCACCCCTCTGCCCTGTCCACTCCTCCTATTACATGCCCTTCTGCACCTCGTCCATGATTGAATAGTTACCACCTCCTAGATTTGTGCATTGTGCCTATAGTATTGTCCACTCTTGACAACTATATACCATTTTTTTTCTTTGTTGCACTTCTTTGTAGCGGTCATGTGCGTGGCTGCTCTGAAGCCCTAAGTGTTGTCTCATGATAACTATTTAGTATCAATACATGGCATGGGATGGTTATTTCTCATACAGGTACCACTACGGTATCAAACAGCAAACACAACACAATTGGATGCATGGCAGACCCGCCCAGACATGAACCATAAAATCTGATGTGCCAGAAGTTCAAGCAGCGGGGTTTAGGGTTCAAAACAATGACAATGGAAGGGTAAGCAGGCAACAAGGAACAAGCTTCTTGAAAATACCGAGCAGGAGTGTAAATGCATGACAGGGAAAGAAGGATGCGGAGGAAGGGTTGACGAGAGGAAGTGAGGAGGCTATGGGGAAGGGAGGATTGCAGGGAGGGAGGTACAAGGAATGCACGGAGGGAGAAAATGAGCAAGAAAGACATGGAGGAAGGGCGGAAGAGAGGACGAGATGAAGGGAGCGAGGAAAGTGGGGAGAGAGGGGGGAAAGGGCACTGAGGCAGAGAGTAGGGGAGAGGGTGAAAGAGAGGAAGAAAGGAAGGGTGTAGGAGAGGTCGATGTTGGGTGGAAGGGAGGAAGGGAGGGGGGAAGGAAGAAAGGGAGGATGGGAGGATGAGAGGAGGGAAGGATGAGAGGAATGAAGGATGAGATTAAGGAAGGGATGAAGGGAGTGGGAGAGGAGGACGACTAGGGAAGGAAGAAAATTAGGAAGGGAGGAGGACAGGAGGTAAAAGTATGGCAGGGTATAAGGCTGGAATGGGGATAGTAATGCACCTCTCCTCTCCGGCATTCTGCCATGTGGACAATCAACAGGCGGATCTAGCGATGCGGGACCGTACCTCAGGCATGGTATACCTATGTGACGTCACGGTCACTGACCCAACCAGCAACCGTGACGAGAACGCCACCAATGGACGGGGCTGGATGGCGCGGGAGATGGCAGACAAGAGAATAGATCAGTACAGGACGCGCTCCTCCTGGGTGGGATTCTTCCCACTGGCGGTGAAACCTACGGGTGTCCATGCGAGGTGGTCCCACCTTCCTCAAGCTGCTGGTTGACATGGCAGCACGGAATCTCTTCAATGCAGACCCAACCTCCTACCAAGCAGCAAAAATGCTGCACCAATTTCGGCAGTAATGGTCCGTCGCTCTGCAGAGGGGACAGGCGCTCAGCTACCTTAAAGCCTGCGGCCCAAATTTCGGACCGCGCGGGTCAAGTTTTTTAAACTTGACGAAGTGGCCTGTGCAAGCTTTGAAAGGTAGCGCAGGTGCAATTTGGGACTTTCGAAGTCTGACACACCCACCACGGAGAAATCGAGGGGCTCGCTAGGTCTGGCAAAAAAAAATATATGTATATATGAATTTGACGAAAACAGAAATACTCGCCAAAACCCAAACCTGCAAAACTCCCCCTCGTCATCTTTTAGAACTTGTGCAACTTGGGCTGCTGGCTTTAAGAAGCTAAACATGGTGGCACAAGCAGAGAACCCGCCAGTTGGAGGGCCAGAGGGGGTGCTGAACCCAGGGGATTGCTCCTACTATTGTTGACTCTGCAGTTCTCCGCCTTCGCTAAAGATCTGGTTCGTTACAAGCACTTTTCCCTGCCTTTCATCTTGCACGCACGCCGAGCATCGAAATGACGCATCAGCGAAAGCGAACAAGGAGCAGTAGAACAGCACGCAGCGAGGGGCAAGGGAAGGCAGAAGAGAGACTGGGTTTGTGAGGTAGAGAAACAAACAGTAAGCAAGTTGGGAAACAACAAATGAGAAGGCCCAGAGCCTTAAAGAGGAAGAAGGGGGAAAGGAAAGGGAAAGTGAGGGGAGGGTTGGAATGGGGAGACGGGAGGAAGGGGGGGAAAAGGGGAAAGGGGGAAGGAGGAGAAGGGGGGAAGGGTAGTGTGGGGATGGGGGAGGGGGAATTCTAGAAGCAGCAGTCGTGGATAGCTTCCTTGTCACGCGCATGCGAGTCCGCGAATCTGCTTGAGAACTACTGGCGTGCCCACCGCATTCACAAACAGTGTGGCGCACGCGATGAACGCAATAATGCATGCAGCACGTGCGTGCGTGCGTGCTGCGCGATGCGGGGCCGAACGGTAAACAGCCATTTTGAGAAAAGGTGCGATGACTGGGATGCGATGTGATGTGGACACTGCCGTGGAGCCGTGGAGACAACGATCACTGCGGCGACAGCGTGCAATGTGGGTGCCAAAGAGCAACGCATCGGCTAACCTGGAACATGGCAAACGTAAGCAGCGAAGCCACTGTCAGCGAGATTGCTACGATAATGACCCGTCTCGATAAAAGCGACAACACGCTCTCCACTGTACACCTATCGGAAGCTGCTTTCGGTATTGCAAACTCTCACAGCATTGCCACGGCCGTCACCAGCCGTCGTCGCCAGAGCAACATTTTTATCGCGTCAGTGATCCGGCGGCAATGGCACGACAACATCTAGAGTCGAACGCATCTTGTACTCGCGGGGCCATATTGACTTGAGACGAGCCGGAGTATCGAGGAGTTACGACGGCAAAGGGACTCATGCATGTGAACGAGGCTCTTGAGAGAATGGACTCCTCTGAAAGTGAATCTTAACGGTGCTGGTAATAGCGAGTCGAGGAGGATCCAAGGGTGGGTGGTGGCAGAATGCGACGCTTAGGCCTAGAAGGGGAAGGTCGCGAGTCGGTGCAAGAGAAGCTCCTGGAGCGATTGAAGACTTTGCTTCGCCATTTTTCCAGCGAGCTCCCACCCTAGGAAAGAAGCGCAACTCTCATTCTTTATATTATAATAACTTGGAGTATGTAAGGTCACACAATCGACTAAAAGTTTCTGTACAGCTCTTAATACAAGAAAGAGGACTCATTGAAGCGGGTTTGACAAGCAAATTTCAAACTTCCGAAATTCTGCGCTGCTGCGATGCTGATTGCCAGGTGAGCGACATTTGCGCGACACGCAAGTCATTGCTTCATGACTCTAGCCTCGAGCACAGCACACTAGACAACGAAGAAAGTACTTCTGTCACAGAAGTTCCGTTCGTTCCACCGCAAATTTGCGCAGAAATGCGACATCAGCCCACATTATCTCCCATTTTAGGCATACACCAGCTCCCTCAATGCTCTCCTTACTAGTACTAAGGATCACCTCGTACCACTCGGTGCGGCTTTAACCACAATCTCGGCAAGGGTGGCGTAAATGCTACTTACTCCGCATTAAAGCCATAGCCTCTGTGAACGAGTAGGTGAAGTGATACTGTTACTGTATGCGAGTAACGACTCGATCTGCCTCACTTAATCTCTCATGCCATTGGGCCTGCCGCTCTGCGGCCGATCTGCTCAGTAGTGCCTTCCTAACATCATTCCGTCAATCCCTCTCACAGTTACTCCTCTACGTGCTTTACCGCAAGGTCGTCGCTTAGCAACTTGACCATCCTCCGAACCTGGGAAGTCATCTCTTGTCGTCACGAGTGACGGTACTTAACAGGCCTTCAGGCACCGGGTGACTTCGCCCTGTCTCTCGAAAGCTGGCGGTTGCTCGCAGGTGGCTGGGCTTTGAATGGTTACGCTGTGCCGTGCGGAGTGCAACTACGTCGCGACGAACTTGAGCGACCTGATGGACGCCACTGCGAACGATGTAGCCGTGGGGAACGAGGGGGAGTGGAGGGATGAACTGAAGAATGCGCGGAAGGCTTTGGCGGAGGCAAGACGGCGGGAGGAGGAGCTGGAAGGGGCGGTTCGGGAGGGCGAGAGGGCGATGGGGGAGCTAGAGGAGTGGGTTGCGCGCAAGGTAGACGCCATGTCATCGCTGGCTGCCGTTCTCCGAGAGGAATGGCTCACGAGAGCGGAGCTGTTTGGGGCCGAGGGGGAGCGCAAGCGCGCGCGCATGGCGGATGGCTCGCCCGCGCATGCGATGATGATGATAGAGGTGAGTGCGCATGGCACTCCACTCCCACAACAGGCCACCACGCCATGCCACGCCACACCACGCCACGCCACGCCACACCACGCCACGCCACGCCACACCACGCCATGCCACGCCACACCACGCCACGCCACGCCACACCTTCTCGCCTTTATCACTCGTTACTAGCGAGTCAGTCCCCTGGGCCCGCCTTTTTTCTTATCCCCTCAGCTCACCCTTTCATATCTTCCCTGCATCTTCCCTTCCCTTCCTCCCTTTCTTCCCTCCTCACCTCCCTCCTCGTCTCACTCCCTTTGTCTTCCAACCTTCCTCCATACTCGCTCCTTCCCTCCCTACCCTCTCCCTCCTCTCCTCCCTCCTCCTCTCCCTCCGTCGCTCTACCCTCCTCCGTCTCTCCCTCCTCTCCTCCCTCTCCCTCTCCTTCCCTCTCGAGCCAAGGACGGAGCTATCCTGCTCACACCTCGCTCTCATTTCCCCTACACCCTCTCCTCACCCACGTGGCAGCATCTGACGGCTCTGTCTGGCCATGCGGAGGCCATCCGCTCAATGGTGCAGGCAGTGAGGAGGCTGGCGTTCGGGGTTGAGGGTAGGAAGGCTCATGCGGATAGAATGAGGGAGCAGAAAGAGGAGGGGGGGGAGAAGCAGTGGGAACAGGAAAACGAAGAGGGGGAGGAGGAGGTACAGAAGGCGGGGACGAGGGACGAGGTGGAGGAAACAACGAAGAGAATGGACGAGGCGATGGGAGGCGGGCTTGAGGTTTCTGAGAATGAAAGGCAAGAGTTTGAGGAAGAATTCGGGTTCAATCAAGAGGAAGGAGCAAGGGAAGAGGCGGAGGACGGGCAAGCAAACGAAGTGGAGGGAAAGGAGGGGATGGGCACAGGGACAGAGCAAGGGGCAGAGAAAGGGGCAGAACAAGGGGCAGAGCAAGGGGCAGAGCAAGGAGCAGAGCAAGGGGCAGAGCAAGGGGCAGAGCAAGGGGCAGAGCAAGGGGCAGAGCAAGGGGCAGAGCAAGGGGCAGAGCAAGGGGCAGGACAAGGGGTAGGGGAGGGGCGAGCAGGCGATGTGGACAGAGCGTCAGTTTGGCAAGCGGATGCAGGGGAGGAAGATGTGCAAGAGGAGGTGTTTGATAATCTCTCCATGGTGCAGGTGGGCGGGGCGAGGAGAAGGACGGATGGGGGTCGAAAATGAGACCTCCAGCCATCCATGACTGTTTCTTGAAATGTGACAAATTGAAACCTCATTCAGCACTTGGTTTGCATGAATGATTTTTTGTTTCCCCCTCGCCTCACAAGGACTCTTCTCCGCACTTTCCGTCCGAGTTTCCCCTCTTCTCACTTCGTCCTCGCTCTTGCTTCCTTCCTTCCCTGACTCTTCCTCGCCTCCCAGATTACAACCCAATGTTCTCAACACCCCCCTAGGCTCCTGCTAATCCCCCCAAGCCCCTCGTTCCTCTGCCCACCCTAGTTTCTCTGCTTGGTTGACCCTTCCTCCTCCCCAATCCTCCTTCTCTCCGTCACACTCTCTCTGTCTCCTCTTCTTCCACATTTTCCCTCATCCCTGTTTCCCCCATTGTCCCCTCTCTCCTCCCTTTCTCTCATCCCACCCCTCCTTCATTCCCCCACTGGTCCACCCCAGCCACTCATCTCCGGCGCTTACAGTAATGGGAGCATAGTGGGGGCGAGAGCGAATTCAGGAGGAGCGGTTACCACGAATGTGGAGGACAGGAACGCACACAGGTGGGGAGGGGGAGGCTGGGTGGGAAGAGCAGGAGAAACGCTGGTGGGGAGGGTGCATCGGCGGCTGGTTGGTGGGAGAGCAAGCGAAGAAGAGGTGAGGGCAAGGCTGCAGGGAAGCATCAGCCAGCTGCTGCCCACGAGCAGGAGCAGGCAGGAGAGTAGAACCCGGTTGCTGGATCACTTGGTTTATCAGCTCTCTACCCAAAAGCCCACTGTTAAAGAGCTTTCCCTCCGCGGTGGCTCCCTTGCCTACTACCTCTCCCCAGTGCTACCCGGACTTGCTACCATCCGTCACCACCCTCGCTCTTCACAACGTTTACCGCCTCGGACCACTCACCTTGCAACTGCTCCTCGGCCTCCCATCCCTCACAGCCCTCCACTTCCGCGAAACTTCCATCCGACCCAAAGCCCTGCCACTCTTCCAGTCAGCTTCTCGGATCCACCGGCTCGTCATTGCCTGTGTTGACCCCTTTGACCTGCTTCCTACCCTGCCAGGCAACGGCAATGCCAACCCGTCCCCCCCATCTGATCCCGCCAGCCAACTCCAACCATTTCAGCCGTTTGCGGGCTTGAGGGAGCTACATGTGAGCCGCGTGACTAACTCTACTCTGCAGCAAGTGGGCGTGCTGACGAGCCTTGAGGTCCTCTCCTGCACGTGCAGCGAGGGGGTGACTTCTGCGGGATGGACTCACCTGAGGGGACTGCAGAACCTGAAGAGGCTGCAGCTGGCACCAACAATCCTCTTCGGCTTGAAGCTTAGCTTCTCCAAATCTCGCCTGCCCGAAATCATTAGGACCTTCCAAAGGCCTTTCAAGAAAGGAGCCGCATGCGCAAGTGAAGACCCCGGCAATCACAGCAACCGCATTGATGGGAGCATATGGGAGGTGGTGGCAGCCCTGCCGGGTCTGCAGCACCTGGAGCTGCACGCACCAGAGCCCAGCACGACTGCACTGCGATCCATCTCCAACATCAGGAACCTCACAACCCTCCACATCACCAGCACGACGTTTGATGATGCTGACCTGCTGGGCCTGAGAGGCCTCTCCCTGCTCACCGAACTCAGCCTGGCTGCGTGCACGTTCGAAGTAGACCAGGCTATGAGGGCGGTGGTTCAGGGCATGACGCAGCTGCAATCGCTGGACCTGTCAGGAACAGCAATCGCTCAAGGCGCGGCTGTGCATCTGCAAGGGCTAGAGCGGCTGGAGCGGTTGAAGCTGCAGCAGTGTAGCGGCATGAGCAAGCTGTTTGTGCAGCATCTGAGCCGCGTTCCTGCGCTGAGGGAGTTGGATTTGGGTTGCAACAACATGCAGCATGCTTGGCTGCTGCCGGTTCTGGAAGGGAAGAAGGTGACTCGGTTAGGAGTGAGAGGCTGTTGTTTCGTGGCGAAGACGTTGAAAGGGCTTCAGCGGGCTTGGATTGAGATTGACTCTGGGGGTCGATGATTGATGTTGGGATGCATGGAACATATGAGTAATTTGGCATGTGGTGCATGGTGTGAAATTGTGTGTGTTGCATTGTGCATGCTGTCTGTAAGAAGTTTGGAATATGGGGTGCTACGGTGGCGGTAACATCACCATGTTACATGAGCAATTAGTGTTAGGGTTGTGTATTACAATAACCATAAGCGTATGTTATTCACAATATTGTGATGCACACTAAACATACTACAGTATTGCATACAATATGGATTAACTATTGCTACGATAATTTTAACTGAGTACGCAAGGGGGAAGCTATATGTCTAGAAATCTACCGGTAATGATCGTACCTAGAAACACGGTAACCTTCCAAGCCCACTAAACACTATTGCTACCTGTATAGCACTGTGTGGATTATGGGGCACAGTAGACAACCGTATTTCACAAGAGGAGGCGATGTTCGCAGAGTACCTCACCACTTCGGCGGGGGCGGAGCTTCTTGACCCGTGGTTTGCCAAGGCCATTGAGCAGTTGCCCGCGACTATACGCCAGGAGCTGCCGGACTTACCCCTGTGTGTGGCGGCCCCTCCTCTTCGGCTTTTCCAGGCGCGGCAGCGGCAGTTGGCTGTTGAGGAGCTCCAGGCACTCCGCCGCTTGGCTCGTGACGATGCCACCCTGGCCCGTTTCACATCCCTTCAGGGCCCGGGGGCTGGTGCATGGGTTTCGGCAGTTCCGGCTCATTCAGATCTCACATTCACTGCAGCGGAGTGGGGCATTGCTGCTGCTATACGGCTTGGTCTCCCAATCCAGCAGCTGCAAGTGGCGGGGAGGTGTGTTTGTGGCACAGCGTATGATGACCCAGCAGACCCGCATCATGCGTTGAAATGCAAGCACCAACACGGTCCATCTCGGGTGCATGATGAGGTGAAGTTTGCGGTGGCAAAGATCGCTAAGGCGTCAGGGGGGGTGGTGACGATGGAGGATAGTGCGGTGCTGCCGGGGAAGCGGGTTGACGTAGCGGTGCGACGACCAATGGCTGGGGAGGCTCATGCTTTAGAGATTAGTGTCGCGGACCCGCTATCACTGTCTCCATCTCTGCTAGGGCAGTGCGGGCGGTCTATAGGCGTGGCGGCAAAGGAGTGGGAGCGTCGCAAAACGGGGGATTACGCGCCTCTTCTTGCACGGAACCGAGGCGTGCAGTTCACCCCTTTGATAGTGGAGACGTGGGGGTGTCTCGGCGGTCGCTTCCGGCGGTGGCTTCGACAGCAGGGGGACGCGCACGTGGGGCTAGCTGTGTCACGGGGGGCTTGTCGGGAGGATGACACTTCGTTCTCGGCTTACCTTTTGGGGTCTCTGAAGGCGCTCATCGGAGTGGCGTTACAACGGGCGCAAGCTCGTGTCATCCTGCTTCGGGCGGCGTCTTCCATGGGGGGGTTGAATGTGGACTTGGTGGATCGGGAGAGGGACGATGTCGAGGTGGAGGGCGGGCCTCTTTGGGTGGAGGCCCCCTACATGGTGGATGTGCAGATGTGACTTGGGGGGGGAGGGGTGGGGGGGGGGGGGGGAGGGGGAATGGGGTGCGAGATGGGACGTCTGGGAGGGGATCCTGGTTGGGTTTTTTTCTTTATGGAGTATTTTTATGGGGCTTTTTATGGGTCTGTTTGTCGTGTCTCTTGATACCGCCTTTTATGTAGCTATGGTGCTTGGGAGCTATAGTGTTTGTCGCGCTGTACAGTTTCTTAAGCCCTCTTTCATTGTATTTCACAAGAGCGGGGATAAGAAACTTCGAATTTCAAATTTTGAGTTGGAAGCATTTCTTGATTGCTAGAGGAGAGCAAGATTGCGCTGCGCAAGGTGTCTGAAGGGGCACGTTCAATGTGGGAATACGAACCTCGAACCGCCGTGGAGGACCGAATATGTAAATGGAAGTAAGGGAACAAAACCAGATCGCAAACATATTTGGAACATATGTTCCCTACAGAACAGATGTCGCTGTTGCATACTTGTTGGAACGAGAAATCGCAACACGCCACACCCAAAAGCCACTCCTGCACTTTAGGTAGCTCCAGCAACTCATTTCCCTTCCTGTTCGTGCGTTCCATTTGTTTGGAGAGTTGTGGGCATCCACTGCTAATTCTTTTCTGCAGCTGATAACTTTTATCACTCATTATCGTTCCAAAATCCGCAGCGCCTGAATTGATAGGTCGCGTTATCTCGTCTTCCGTCCACCGTGACTCCGCCACGCCGTAGACTCGTGATGATATCGCGACTCGCTCGTCACTGCCCCGGGCAGCGCAGATCGATGGCTCCAGCAAACGGCAGAGATGGAGCTAATGCGATAAATGCGACGGATGTCACGCACGGTGGGAACGGGCAGGACGAAAACATGGATGAGGGCGAGGAGGCGAACTTACTGGACAACTTGAACGCAACGACTGTGATAGTAACGGGGGCGAGGAGCCGCGACGACGAAACGAGCGAAGTTGGGAAAGCGATGGCGGAATTGGAGGAGTGGATTGAGAGGAAGGTGGAGGCGATTTCCGCCCTGGCGGACGCGATTCGGACGGAATGGGCGAGCGGCGCGACGGCGCCGTCGCTTATGGGTACTAAGGCAGGGCGCAAGCGAGCTCGTGTGGCGGATGGGTCTTCCTCAGAACCGATGGTGTTGGTGAGTGCGTCTCGCACATGTCTGTAAAATGTCGCGCACGTCCCCCGTGTGTCATGCTCGTCTCGCACATGTTGCACAAGTCTCCCGTGTGTCACACATGTATCGCATGGTCGCACATCTCTCGCATGTCAAATCATACGACGTCTGGAACAACATGCTGCGAGAGCAAGGGGAGGTACGACCTTGTCTCCGAGGTACTATCTAGTACACACATCTGGTTGAAGCGTAGTGGACCCATACCCATGGTCCTTGTCACCGACCCCATGCCCCTTGTCACCGACCCCATACCCCTTGTCACCGACCCCATACCCCTTGTCACCGACCCATAGTCTCATGTTCGCCTTTTGGCAGCAGCATCTGGTCGACCTGTCATTAGCCCATGCGGACTGATCAGTCTGAGAGGCATCTGAGGCCATGAACAGTAGGTATCGACTGGGGAAACGGGCGCATCACGCAAAGACGTAGCCCCCTTTTCCACTGCTTCTCCTACTCGTAACAGCATTTGGCCGCGCTGTCAGCGAACGCGGGAAGCTATTCAAAAAAGGGTTTCGACGGAAACTTGCCAACCCCTCACTCCCTCTCCACTTTCTCTGTCCCCTGCTTCCCTGTCCCTTGCTTCACCATCCCCTGCTTCTCCATCTCCTGCTTACCCGTCCCCTGCTTCCCCATCTCCTGCTTCCCCGTCCCCTGCTTCCCCGTCCCCTGCTTCCCCGTCCCCTGCTTCCCCATCTCCTGCTTACCCGTCCCCTGTTTCCCCGTCTCCTGCTTCCCCGTCCCCTGCTTCCCCGTCTCCTACTTCCCCATCCCCTGCTTCCCCGTCTCCTGCTTCCCCATCCCCTGCTTCCCTGCCCCCTGTTTCCCCGTCCACTGCTTCCCCATCCTCTGCTTCCCCGTCTCCTGCTTCCCCGTCCCCTGCTTCCCCATCCCCTGCTCCCCCGTCTCCTGCTTCCCCGTCCCCTGCTTCCCCATCCCCTGCTCCCCCGTCTCCTGCTTCCCCGTCCCCGTAGCAGTATCTGGCCGCGCTGTCAGCCCATGCGGAGGCCATCCGCGCCAAGGTGCGCGGAGTGGGGAGGTCTGTGCGCGGGTTTGAGGGGAAGAAGGCGCAGGGGGGAAGAATGGAGGGCGGGGATGAGCGGGGAGAAAACAGGGAGACGCGGATTGGGGAGGAAGATGAGATGGAGGATCAGGTGCGGAAGAAAAGGAGGAGGAGGTGGGTGAAGGGGAGAAGAAGGCGGAAGAGGAGGGAATGAGGGAAGAGGAGGAGGGAAAAACAATCGATATGGTGGACGAGAACACGGAAGTGGTAAAGCAAGGGAGAGTGGGTAGGAGAAGGGCGAGGGGAGGAGCCGGTGGAGGCAGCAGGAGCACAGCTTGGGGGAGAGGAAGGGCACGTAGCAGAGAGACTGGGCGTGGAAGAGAGGGATGGTGCGGCAGAGAGGGATGGTGCGGCAGTCAATTGTGAAAATAACGCCGAAGATGCAGAGGAGGACGCAATTGAGGAGGGAGTGGGAGACAACTATGACCTGGTTGAGGTGAGAGGTGGTATTGATATGAGAGGTGGTATTGATATGAGAGGTGGTATTGATATGAGAGGTGGTATTGATATGAGAGGTGGCATTGATATATCGCCTCGCTGCTCACGGGGTGAAAACGAGGGTTATATTTGAGGTGCAGCAGAGGCACTCAAGCTTGTAAGCCCACAGGCTTTACAATTGAGGTGAGAGGTGGCACTGGGGCGAGACGTGGCATCGAGGTGGCATTGGCTTTACCCCTCCTGCTCGTTCTCTCCCTTTGCAATATTTTTGCTCTTCATCCCTCCTACCTAATTCTCTACAATTTTCGCTGCTAATTCACAGCTATGTATTATGTATGTATAAGGCTACATTCATATCAGCACAAAGTAACTTGTACATGTCCTGTTACATTCACCTTGTTGCTCCTCTCAATACGAGCTCTCATTTCTCCAACACCCCGCACCATCCATCTTCCCCCCTCCCTTCATCAGCAACCCCTCATCCCTGGAAACGGAGGGGGGCAGGACAATGGGGCGGAGACAGGGAACGAAGCTAGGGATATGATGCAAGGGAGCATAGAGGAGAGGAGAGAGGAAGGCGTGGTGGGAAGGGCAGGCGGGGAGCAGAGTGGTGCAGGAGAGGCAGACGGGCCAGTGGGGAGCGACCTGGTGGCGTCTGTGGAGCGATGGGCGCAAAGGGCGGGGCTGTGCGGAGCAGGAGCAGGAGATCAAGCCGCAGAAGCAGCAGCTGGGCAGGTGCAGAGTGCACCGGTGGGGGGAGAGCCCACCGATGGTGAAGAGGCATTCAGGGCGCGGCTGTATGAGAAGATCGACGCCTTGCTGCTGCTCATCCCTGCTGACAAGCAGGTGGTTCAGACACGAGTGATCAACCGAACGGTCCGCTTTCTCTCTTCCCTGCTGCCCAAGACACAGCAGAGCACAGCTACAGTGCAGCGGATCGCCCCTGAAACGCAGCAACTCAATGGCAACCCTGCAGCCGCAGCACCGCAGATCACCCCTGAATTACATGAGATTACCCTCTCCAAGAGCAACCTCCACTACTTTCTCTCACTGGCTCCCACCTTCCGCCCCACCCTCCTCCCCTTCCTCTCCTCCCTCTCACTCGACCACTGCTCCTCTGTCTCTCCCCGTGACATTCTTTCCCTCGTCCACCTCCCCTCCCTCACCTCCCTCTCCTTCCTCCAAACCCCCATCGCTCCAGCTGCCCTATCCCTCATCCAGCCCTTCTCTCGCCTCCACCAACTCGTCCTCGACTGCCCCGGGCCCTCAACTCTGGCCTTCAAAACGGCGTCCTGGCAATTAAAGAGCCTGAAAGTGCTGCACTTGAGCCGGGTGACCAACGCAATTCTGGAGCAGGTGGGCATGCTGACGAGCCTCGAGATTCTCTCCTGCACGTGCTGTGAGGGGGTGACTTTCACGGGATGGCTTTGCCTCGTCGGGTTGAAACGGCTGAGGCAGCTCCGAATGGCTCCAGCAGATCTGGACCGTCATGGTTTGAAGATGGAGTATCCCAAGGGAAGCTTGCCGGTGGTCTCGCGAGCGTTTGCAAGGCCACAGAAGAAGTTTGGGGGCGTTTATTGGGAGAGAGTTCAAGAACATTCACGCTTGAAACACTTGGAGGGATTGCCGAGCCAGGACAAAGACAGTGGGGTGTGGCATTTGCTGGGCTCGCTGCAAACTCTAAATCACCTGGAGCTGCATGCACCACCGCGCTACAAGCACGCCTACACGACACTCGACGCGCTGCACCTTCTCACCACTCTCCGCGTCACCGGGGCTTTTCTTGACGAGGACGCGTTCACACGCGTGACTCGCGTAACGTGGCTCACCCACCTCAGCCTGGCCGGCTGCACGTTCACAACTGACAGCGTGGTGATGAAAATAGCAGCTGCCATGCCGAAGCTCCAGTCCCTGGACCTGTCGGGAACGGCAATCAGCAAAGATGACATCGTGGAACTGAAAGACTTGAAGCAACTGGAGCGTTTGACGCTGCAGCGGTGCCCCTAGGTGGGCGTGTCGTTTGTGCGGTACCTCTGCCTTATGCCTCGGCTCAAGGAGCTGGACCTGGGCTTCAACAACATGCCGGCTGATTGGTTGAAGGATATTCTGCAAGGGAAGAGGGTGAGGTGGCTGAGTGTGAGGGGATGTGGGTACAAGGAGAAGACTCTGCGTGGGCTTGAGCGGCCTTGGATTGTGATCGAGTCCTGATGTGGCAGCATGTGCTGCTGCATGGCATGGTTTATGGCAAATGCAGGGCATGTGGTGTATGGACTGTGATGTTAAGTGGGAGACTTGAAGTGTGTGAGACAGCATCCTAGGCATATAATTATTTATATGGTGTTTGTTTATGGTGGCATTTTTGGACGCTGGCCTCGTATTGAAAAGAAAGCATTATGCATTGTGCATGACATTTGACAAATATGTTAAAGGGAGATTTACTGTTCCCTTAAAACTGTGCTTTCCAGCAGGCATCAGACGAAATTTTTTCTTTGGCCGAGGGGAGCGTCTGATGCATCAGGCGTCCTCAAATCCTAGGGAGAGCCCTGCTTTCCAACTCATCCCTATCATTACCTTCTCAGATCTCCTAGTGCCACGTGGCACTCTACTTTCTTTGCCTTCGAATTCCTAGTCCCACAAACCACTTTTCCACAATTGATCTTGCATCAAGTCTCAAAATATCGGGGTTAAGCCATTTTTGCCGTTTTCGGCGGCCACTATTTTTTTCAGTTAACGTTTTCCAGGATAGTAGGATTTTTACCCTATGTAGTGATTTTTTCCCCATTGTACTGTAATCTCCCGTATATAGGACCCAGGTGTCTTATTAAAAATGTCGTGAAAACTGATTAGGTGAACAATACCAAGCGGCATATTTATTAAGACCCTCGAACATATTAAAAATTCATAGAGCATAATGTATTCACCCATAACACTGAAAGTCAAGCTTTTACCGAGGGTGTTGAATTCTTCCCCTGACGCGGATTCGAATCTCAACAATAAAATCCGTGCAAAAGCGAATCTTGACTAGGATTTGACGCGAAACTGACTCGCGTCACCATTTTGTGCCTGATAACGAGTCAGCCGAGCACCAGCAACCCCTGAAATTCGTTAAAAATATAACAAATCTTTGAAATTTTGACGAAGGAGGGGGGTCTTAAAATAGTTAATTAAAAAGGGGGGTCCTCACGAGAGCAGGTCTGAATAAAAGACCCTTGGTCCGGAAAGAGGACCCTTGGGTCTTCTCCGCGGGGGGGTACTGTATCCGGGAGATTACGGTAAATCAGTGTGATTGTGTTATTTTCCTTGACTGTACAGGGTATGGTTTCAGTTACACTGACACCAAATTCTCGAAAACAATGATTTCCGAAATCGAGCTCGTAGAGAAACGGACACCATGGCCAACACACACACACACATGACAGCAACCACGGATGCGAAACTGCGAAAATCCCACGATGTGCCGCTTAACCACCACATTGGTGGATTTGGCAACATTGCTGGCAGCGCAACACGGAAACAAGGCCAGAGCAGCATCTAACAGCTGGCAACCTTGTCTAGTAGCGCGCCGACAATACAGCGGTGCAGTGCTGCAAGATTCGTGCTGACCAAGGCAGCACAAAATAGTCAAGCAGGAAACTTGCAGCAGTTCGCAACAGCAAAGGGGGATTTGTTGAGATACCCTAACTAGACTAGAATGATGTGATTAGGAAGGAATGGGGTACAAATATGCAAACCCTAGAGGGGTTATACCCCTTAGTGGCTACCCCGCTATAGCCTACACAATATGCACAACATATAGTTTGACACACCCCCATAGGCGGAGTGGGGGAGAACTAGTGGTCACAAGACCAGTCAAGAAAAGCAAAGCAAGCTCAGGGTGGATCACGAAGTCACTAGACATTCCGAGCACAAGCACAAAGGCCACAAGGCCATTTCGCATGCATATAGAAAACATAGCAAACAGTACAGTGATCACAACCTAGCAAGTGTAAGCATGCATGTATATATATATATATATATATATATATATATATATAAAGATCACAGTACAACCAAAGTCAAGAAGTAAACAAGTGAGCAAACATTGGCACCAGGTCTAGAGCAGAAACGCTGATGGTCAACAGGCGGAAGTGCCTTGGTGAACACATCAGCAGTGTTGGCCCGGGTGAACACGAAGCTGACCACGCTGCTGCAACTCTCGAGCCAAGAAGTAACGCAGAGCAATGTGCTTCGTTCTGTGCTCCAATTGTCAGAATCCCAGCCACTAACCACTGGGATAAAAGGGCTTATTTGTATAGCGGGTGAGTGCGCCCATAACCCCCCAGGCCAACGTGCCTGTAACCCTTCCCTAGGATCAATCGGGGATCACCAGTGGACCTCTGACACCCCCCCGCACTGGGATGCCCGAGGTGCACACACCGGGATTCGAACCCGAGACCTTCGCTCTGATACCATGTCAGAATCCCAACCACTAACCATTGGGATAAAAGGGCTTGTTATAGTAGCGGGTGAGTGCGCCCATAACCCCCCAGGCCAACGTGCCTGTAACCCTTCCCTAGGATCAATCGGGGATCACCAGTGGACCTCTGACACCAATCTGTGCTCCTGACACAAGGTAATAGCAGCCTTGTTGTCTACGTACAGAACTGGAGGAGAACGAGGCCGCTCACCCAAGTCGGTCAGCAGGTAGGTGAGCCAGCGTAAATCCTGTGCAGCCATGGCTGTGGCGGAGATCTAAGCCTCACAACTGGAGCTGAGAACAGAAGACGAGCGGGTAGACTGCCAAGAAACAGAGCCGGAGCCAAGGCTGAACGTGTAACTCTGTGACGATCACTGTGTAGTCAGGTCATCAACCCAAGAAGCGTCTGAGTGTCAAGTGAGGACAATGTCACCCTTTCCTCCAAGCACAAGCCCCATGCCTGATGTACTGCAAGACACTCGAAGTCCTCCTGCCTGTCCTCAAGGACGTCCGTGCCAAGAGCACACTCACCCCCGACGGACGGAGGACAGACAGACTCAGACTCAGCAACAAGAGCAGCGGCGTAGTCGAGACGACAAGCAGCAGCAAAGTCAACAAGCTCAGCGACCAAGGCAGACGCAGCAGCGGACTCAAAAGAAGGGTCAGTGGTAACAGTGGCTATCAGACGCGTGAGAGAAGGGTGAGAAACATGAACCAGGTCAGACTCTGGGTCCGGAACCTCAGGAAGAGAGGACGCAGGAGGAGACGGCAGAGGGACGCGCTGTGGAACAAAGGAAGGACGAAGTGCCATAGTGTGAGTACCTAGCACAGGAGGAGGACGCGGACGCAGGACACGACGGCCAGTGCGGACAGCGTGAACAGGCGAGGCAGGACGAGACGCAGGCTCACGACGCTTTGTAAGCGAGTTTGTCTGCTCAGTGTATGGATAAGGAGCAGGCAGAGGGAAGCCGGGCTGTAACGGGAGGCCAGTGGACGATGGGAGGCTAAGAACCTGGCGAAGTACGAAGTTAGGTGGTGGCAGAGACGACGGCGACGGCGGAGGAAAGAACAACCGTCGAGGCGCACACCAGCGCTAGCACCTCCAGCTCCAGCACCGCTAGCTCCAGCACCTGCAGCTCATGTGCCTCCAGCTCCAGCGCCTCCAACTCCAGCGCCTCCAGCTCCAATGCTACCAGTGGCAGCGCCTCCAGCTCCAGACCCTCCAGCGCAGCGCCTCCAGCGTCAGTTTCTCCAGCTGCAGCGCCTCCAGTGCCGGTGTCCCCAGCTCCAGCGCCTCCAGCTCCAGCGCCTCCAGCGCCAGCGCCTCCAGCTCCAGCGCCGCTAGCTCCAGTAGCGCTGCGCCGGATGCGAGTGCGCTGAGCTAGCCACTCGCGCAGCTGCTGTGGTGAGAGGGGCTCCCGCTGGGGAGACCGCTAAAGTAAGGCACCAGGAAGACCATCTGTGGACCCAGCTCCACCAGGCTCAACACCCCCAGGCTCAGCTCTCTCAGAAGCAGCACCCCCAGGCTCAGCACCCGGAAAAGCAGCACCCCCAAGCTCAGCACCCCCAGGCTCAGCACCTCAGGCTCGCGCAGCACCCCGAGCAGCACCACCCCCAGCAGCACCTGAGTCACCAGTGACCTCGTCAGGCTCAGCTATGGGAAGCGGGTCTACCTGAGAGACACCTGAAGGCGCAGGACCCTGAGGGGGGAGGGGTTTTACTGGAGGGGGACCTGGAGCGAGGAAGAGCGGCGGGGGGGGGGGGGGGGGGGAAGAGGGGCAGTGCGGTAGGGGAAGAGACGGTAGAAGGGAACCGACTCGTCAAAGGTGACGTCCTGGGACGCGAAGACACGGCGCGAGGTGGGGTGGTAAAACTGCCAACCAGGCGCGTCAGTGGGAAAGCCAAGGAAGACGCAGGGAATGGCGCGATAGGAGAGCTTGCCTGCTGTGGAATCGCGGACGAAGGCACAGGAACCCCAGACCTAGAACGCGGACGCATCGCCAACCTTCCCCGTCCAACGAAGTGTAGGCGAGGTCTCCGGCAAGGAGATACGGGGCCAGAGGTTGAGCTGATGCGCGGCGTACCGGACCGCAAACGGCCATAGAAAATGGGGAGCAGCCGCATGTGTCAACGGGAGTTGGGTATTGGCCCCGTCCTCGCTTGGGCGGAGCCGACTTCCTGGTCGGGTGTAGGGGTGCAGTCGACCTGCAGCAGTGGGCGAGCCGGTCGACGGGGTTGGTCGACCTGCACGGGAGCCACTGCAAGGGCGCCGACTTCGGGAGGGCGCCAACTTCGAGTGGTCGACTTGAGAAGTCGACCTGCAGAGGGCGTCGACTTGGGGACGCCGACCTGGGGTAGCCGACTTGGGTGGTCGGCCAACAGGAGTGCTGGTCGACCTGGAGGTGGTCGACCAGGAGTGTCGTCGACCTGGAGTTGGTCGACCAGAGGGCGTGGTCGACCTGGTGAGGTCGACTGGAGGTGGCCGTCGACTTGGGAGGTCGACAGGCACGCACAGGAGCACCTGGTCGACGTGGTTGCCCGGTCGACCAGG